GAGGTCACTCTCCAATGTTGCTCTTGTATCCCTAAGACACCTTCTTCCCTTCAGAAGCATTCCGATGCTTGGTTCTTTCTGGTGTTCGTACTGCACAAGGACTGAAAACCTCACATCCAAGATTCATGGCATCTTCAAAGGCTGGCATCAAAATCTGATCCCATTAATGATAGGACTGAAATCCAGAAGGTGCTGGACTTTGGTGCTCCTCAGTTTTCTCGGCAGAAAAGTGGAAACTCTAAGCACTGTGTGCTCCTGGAGCTCTTGTCTACAAGTAAAGAGCTTTCTTCGTGCAGGACACCATTCATAGTGAACACATGTCACGAGCTTCCCCTGGATGTGTCCCTGTTCAACATGCACAACCAAGGAAGCCCTATTTGGCCAGGCTGTCAGAGGATGTCAAAGTTCAGTGTGTCACAGCTCCCCCAGCCTCCAAACTGCCCTCCTGCGGTGGGACTGGAGATTCGATGACTCCTGCGATGGGACGGAAGATGTGATGACTCCTGCGATGGGACTGAAGATGTGATGGCTCCTGCGATGGGACTAAAGATGCGATGGCCCCTGCGATGGGACTGGAGATGCGATGGCTCCTGTGTTCGGGCTGAAGATGCGATGGTTCCTGCGGTGGGACTGAAGATGCGATGGGACTGAAGATGCAATGACTCCTGCGATGGGACTGGAGATGCCATGGCTCCTGCGGTGGGACTAGAGATGCAATGGCTCCTGCGATGGGAGTCGAGATGCCATGATGCCTGCGATGGGACTGGAGATGCTATGACTCCTGCGATGGGACTGAAGATGCGACGATTCCTGTGATGGGACTGGAGATGCAACGACTCCTGCGATGGGACTGGAGATGCCATGGCTCCTGCAATGGGACTGGAGATGCCATGGCTCCTGCGATGGGGCTGGAGATGCAACGACTCCTGCGATGGGACGGGAGATGCCATGGCTCCTGCAATGGGACTGGAGATGCAACGACTCCTGCGATGGGACTGGAGATGCAATGACTCCTGCGACGGGACTGGAGATGCGACGGCTCCTGCAATGGGGCTGGAGATGCGATGACGCCTGCGACGGGACTGGAGATGCGATGACTCCGATGGGACTGGAGATGCAACGACTCCTGTGACGGGACTGGAGATGCCATGACTCCTGCGATGAGAGTGGAGATGCCATGATGCCTGCGATGGGACTGGAGATGCCATGACTCTTTCGATGAGACCGGAGATTCCATGACCCCTGGGATGGGACTGGAGATGCCATGACTCCTGCGACGGGACTGGAGATGTGTCGGCTCCTGCGGTGGGACTGGAGATGCCGTGACTCCTGGGATGGGACTGGAGATTCGATGACTCCTGCGATGGGACGGAAGATGTGATGACTCCTCCGACGGGACTGAAGATGCGATGGCTCCTGCTGGCTTCTGGAGAAGCCGTGTTCCCCATTGCCGTGGTCTCACCACTCCAACATGCAAAAGATTCATTCCCTGTCCGTCAACCTGTGTGCCTCAGCCACTGACTCCCAAACCATCCCTCATCAAATGGAAGCTTGCCCACTTAACTTTGTACCTCCTGAGCCTCCAGACATCTCAGATCCTTCCATCTGTCACCACCCCAGCCTTCTCCACACCTGTCTCTTCTCTGAACGCCTCCTCTGCCTTCTTCCCCTGGATGAAGCCTGACTCTCTCTTGAAGACACTGCATCCCCTTCAAAACCCTCAAACCAATAGGCTGGGGGTGAAGCAGGTATTCTTCATTCTCCTTGTTGGGGCTTCTAGAACATCATCTGTTCTAATTCATTGGGGGGTGCTCCTGCCATCCCAAGACCTAAGAAACCATCCAGACCTAGTTGACCAGCTGGCTCAACACCTGCTCTTCTACTTGGTCAGGAGAGAGTGGGTGGATCTTCCTCCACCTCAGCTCCCCAGGCACAGGAAGTCCCTAGTGTCCAGTTAGTCATGACTGTGCAGTCTTTCTGACTGGGGTTTCTTCCAAGGCATGGAGGGGCTCGGAAGCTCACAGGGCAGCCACCAGAAACAGCCAGGAAGGAGTCCATTGTCTGGGCCTCTGCCCTTCCAGACCAACTTAGCAAAATTACAACCTCATCTCCATCTGTGTGTGCGCTTCAGTTCAATAAATACTTCCTAAGCACATAGATTTGCTCTGCTGAATGCCGTAGGTGCAAAGGCGTCTACAGGGAAGACATTTTCATTTTTAAAGAATATGCAAAGGTGCCCCTTTGTTCTCTTTCTCCTGGGCACAAACCTGCGCCCCCTAACCACCTCCAAGCACACAGTGTCTCTTTCCTGGTCTCTAAAATCCTGTCTCCTTGGCCAACTGACGTAAGCACTTCTCAAATGCAGACAGGAACAAAAAATGATGATTCAATCAGTTCATTTTCAAGACGGAATGACTGCCTTCCCCTCTTAGGCTCCTCCACCTTAAATATGATAATGCTAGGCATTAAATTGGAGAAGTGACTCAGTGGGTGGTTTAGTGGTTAAAAGCGCTTACTGTTCTTTAAGACCTGAGTTCAGTTCCCAGTGCCCACACTGGGCAGCTCACAACTGCCTATAACTCTAGTTCCAGGGTCTATCCAAAACGGCCTTTTGGTTCCTGCAGGAACTGCAGTAACATGTACACACACACAC